CACTTTATGCTTAATGAAAAGTTTAAAAAGTTAAACAATTAAATTTGTTGTTACGGCTCAGAGATTGACATTTTGAGGTGAGAGCCTCCCTTCCAAGACGAGGTCAGAACTTGAGACTACTCTTTAAACACAGGAAAAGAACTACAGGCCACAGCATCTGACACCAAGCTATCATTCCAGCCAAGTATGCTGCTTCCCTCTGATCATTTTCTTTTCCAATACAGAGTAATAAAAGAACGCAAGGCACAGAATTACTTGGGAAAACAGAAATTCTGTTGTAAAGTGTGTTTGACATTTTGAATCTTGCTTGCACTTTAAATTGCAACAAAGAGGAAAAGTGTGACCTCTTTTTCCCTGTCCATGACAAAAGAATTCTGAAAAAACCCAATTTACTCTGCTATGATTTTGTTTATTTTTCAGACAGATATGTATTGCTTGAAGCAGAGTCAAGGCAAAGTGATTTGGTCATGGAGAACGTGCAGCACTTTTGATATCTCAAAGCAGAATGTTTCAGCAGCATCAAATATAGAACAGTAATTTTTTTTACCTCTTTTCTTCTAAACTCCTGTATAAGCTGACACATCACAGAATGCTCTGGTTTGGATGACTTGTTCACTGGTGGAAAAATTCCTGCCAAAATTACTTGAAATAATAATCTCATGACAAAAACTTGATATGCTTTGGATAGAAGCATCTTTATTTAATCACTGCAGTGGTAAATACGGATTCTTGGCTTTATGGACAACTTCTGTCTGCCAAGGAAGCCTTGTAATGTAGAACTGTAAATCCTGGAGATAAGAGCTGCAGGATATTTATCTGATCATGCCTATCCACAGGAATCAGAGTCCTGGTGAGAAGGGACTCTCAATCAGTCTGGTAAGGCAAGAACTTGTCCAGAGAACAGGAAACAAAGAAAGAAATGGAGATACAGGGACTAGGGGAGTAGAAAAGGTAGAAAACAAACAGAAAAGACAGAACAATCAATACATGTTCGTTTCAGTTTTTCTGAAGGTGGGCAGCTAAAATTTGGTCTTGTAATAGCTGAAGCAAATGCTCAACTAGAAAGTTCATCTTCAAGAAACCTCAAGGGACCAGAGCCTCAGAGCTATCAGAAATGGCTGAAAACCCCTTTTATAGTTTTGGCTTAAGGGAAACACTCTTCTTAAAAGGATATTATGGGGGTTTTTTGTTCTTTTTTAAAAATTTGGTTGGAAAATAAAGACTTTACTTAAAGCCTGCTGTAAGTTGAATGGAACAACAAGAAACAAAGCCATACTTTTGAAGAGGCAAAAATGCTTGAATTCTGAAATGTTTTGACAGTAAGAATTGACAGTTGAAGAGAAAATGAAACATAGAGTAGATTTGTGTTCAGTGAACTGAACCAGTGAAGGATTTGCAACTGATGTATACAAACTACCATTAGAAAGTACCTGACTCCTCTGTCTCAGTAGCCATGTTGATAAAAAGCTAATCATCTTGCTCCTGTGCAGGTCTTGCTGGCAGTCTACTAAACAGTGCAGCAGTTCCAATAGTGAGAGCTCATAAAAGATAGAGGGGAGAAAAGGAAAAAAGAAACAAAGTATGTTCATTTTGGGCAGCTGCTAAAGTATTTTCCTTAACATTTACACTTTGTTTGTGAGCTTTCTTATTAGTATAATTTTCACATGGCATTGGTTTCACTTTAGTAGTCAAACACCATATGGAAATGAATAATCAAACACTGCTTTTTAAGATGTTGAAATGAAACATCCTGACTAATTTATTTTTTTTTTTTCTTCTGAAAACAGACCTTTCCTTCTTTTTGGAGATCCAAATATATATTTTTCTATGGCAAATGTCACCAAACTAAATTATTGGCTTATTCCACTTTTTACACAGATTTCCTGCTGGTGTCCAAGGAAGGAATCTGAGTTCCATGCACAAAACTCAGTGGAGGAGATTTTTGCTCAGTTTTCTGCACTCTTCATCTGCACCATGCAAGGTCACAATGTGGATTCCTACTGTTCTGGTTCTGCAAGGAAGAACAAGCCTATTCCCACAATCAGGACCAGGCATATGTCAGCTACAGAGTGCAAACCAGATTGTGAACTGGCTTTGGTATTTGGGGAAATTTTGGAGGTGTCCGGGCATGTTCGGCTGTTCTCCTCTGTCCATGGTGCTGGGATAGATCCCATTCACAGACACCAGACTCTATCCCTCACTCTGGTGAGAAAACACTGCTGTTTCTGAGATTTGTTACTGTCCAGCAAATGTTATAAAATTGCATTACTGCTAGATTCATACTCATAAATTATTATAAACCTAGGATATTGATATATGCCATGAGAAGAAGATGCATGTGGCATTGCTCATATCATTACCATGGCTGCAGGAGCTGTTATTTCTCTTGTAGCAGACATCATGTATAGCAGGTAAATCACCTAGCAGATCCCCATGAGTCTATCTTTCCAGCTGGGTTTCTTGGAAAATTGAGTAAAGGCTCTGCCTCTGAGGTAAAAGCCTTCTCAAGAAGCCTTTCTGAGACTATGAATAGACACAGATCTATAGACTACATCATCTCTTTTGACTGTGTCCTTTTCTGCCTCTGTGCCTGATCCTCATGTGGTGAGGAGTCTACTGGCGGGAGCTTTCCTGACTGAATAGTCAGGGTATCACCTGGACAGGAGGTACCCAAATCAGGCTCACAAGTGATTGGATTTTCATCTGGAATGTACATCCTGTGGGAGTTACATGGAATCTGGTGCTTGAGGCAGAGTAGAGATGCTGAAGTTAGGACTCCGACTATCTCAGTGGAGTTTGTGATTTCATGATGATGTGCCTTGGTCTCCTGAAGAGGAGGGAACTGTGTTAAGAGCTATGTTTCGCTGTCTCATGTATCATGATTTTCTGTGTCAGCTGTGTAATCTGGAAAAGGTGGGTGCAGTCTGGAAACAGAACCACAGGTATATGACTCTTGGAGAGTCAGCTGGCTCTGAAAACAGAACAGTAGTTGTAAACAGGTCAACAAGAAGCTCAAGGATCCCTCAGGGACTTCTGGATGCCCCTATTGTTTTGTCTGGCTCCTGAAATCCCTGTGGATGACATCACTCCTCTGCACAGAAGGGAGGACATTCACTATTGCAAAGCTTGTAAGGAGCCTATAAACAGGAACAATGACATTTCTCAGCAATTCCACTTGGCTATGCTGACCCTCAGCTGCTGCAGGAGCTCCTTGATGTAGCATGGTCCGGGATTCCCAAAATAGGAAGAAGAAAGCTGGTTTTAGGCAATTGGGTGTTCTAACTATTAGCTTACACTTTTCTGATCCTTCTGTTTGAGGGTATTTGAATTGTCCCTTCCCAGACTCCGGGAGACAAGAACAAGGTGTGCGTGTGGAAGTTTGGTAGTCTGGGGTGGGGACACTGTCCTTCTCTCTAAGAGCAATCATATGGAATGTGAGGTGTGATATGACAGACCCAAACTATAAACCCTGCTCAGTCATATAGAAACTTCAGGAGAAACCATAGATCTGGAAGCACTGTGTTAATAACACACAAACCCAGGTACACAGCTCTAGCAGGCTTCCAGGTTCATTTCTTGAGCACAGTAATCTATGCTGACACACACATGTTGTTATGTATGAAAAAGCATAAAAAATACTGCATTATGCCTTTTGAATGGTAATTTCTGGGGGTGAGTTAAGGTATAGAACAAGAAGGTTTTCCACCCTGTCTTGGTATTATTTTTTCCTCTCTGAAAGGTGTTAGAAAAAGTGCAGCACATGCTTACCCAGGTGAGTTTCTAAGACTAGTGTCAGCTGCAAAAGTGGTTTTCTGGGAGGCTGTAGAATAGAACCAAACAGTTCAGGGGAAGGGACCTAAAAAGACAGTCTAGTCCAACTGTCTAATCACTTCAGGATTATAGAAAATTAAAACGTGTTATAAAGGGCATTATCCAAATGCCTTTGAAACACTGATAGGCTTGGGGCACTGAGGCACAGGTGGCAGACACTGCCCTGAGCGTAGAAACATGCACTCCCGCATCTGCAGCTGGCATCTGAAAGCTTTGCAGACTGCGGAGCCCCGATGGTCGGCTCGCTGCCCCGGGAGGCACTGACTGGCGTGTCATGCCTGCTGGATCTGCATGCCTTTCCGCACGGTGCCAGGTGCGGCCCCGGCGTCCTTCGTGACCTTCAGACGACGTCGCCCACGGGCCGTGCCAGCGTCTCCCCGGGAGGCGCCGCTGCTCCCCATCCCCGGCAGCGTTCCGCTCTAGCCCCCTCCTTCCTTTTAGACCCATATAGGTTACTTTGGGGGTTGCTGTCCCACCTCTCCTGCTAGCGACAAAAGGGCGGATCAGCAGCAGAACTCGTCTCCTCCCCATCCAGCTCCAAGCCGGCTGTCGGCATCCCTAAAGGTGGGCGCCGGTGCTCTGGAGTGGATATTGCTCTGCTTTGCCACGTAGCGCTCGCACCGTACACAGCTCCTTCCTTCTCACCTTCAGATGCCGTCCCGAATCCGGGCTGGACAACGGATCGCTGCACTCGCGTCCTTCAGCGGCAATCGCAGGGAGACGACCTTCCTCTTTCCCCCCATCCCGCCCCCCCATCCCGTCCCTCCTCCCTGGCCTCGCCCCCCCGCCCCCCAGCCTGGATAGCAAGAGCACAGAGACAAGCAGCCGGCGATTCTTCTCCGGCCACAGTTAATCCGAGGCGAAGCAAGAGGGAGGAGAAAGTCCGCTCCCTTCCTGCCTTCCTTGCCTCTCCAACTCCCTAGTTTCCCAGGACCTAGGGAATGAGAGGGGATCTCCGGGAAGGACTCAGAACAGAGGATGCAGAACGCTCTCCCACACCCTCCCCCTTTTGCAGGAAGCCGTGGTTGCAGAGATTTCCCCTGGCACACACACTGACTCCCGAGGAGAGGCAAGGAACCAATTACAAAATGCAACAGCGGGCTGACAGCCACCCCTCCTTCCCCCCACGGCAAAGCCCAAGGACACCTGGTTGCTGGAGACAGCCGGGGATGGGCTGGGGGACACGCATGCAGGCACACGCACCCCACCGCGGGGTTCGGGGAGCGCCGCCGGCCTGCTCAGCGGCGAGCACCGAGGGGCGAGGGCGGCGCAGGGAAGGGGCGGGGGAGCCGGAGGCAGGGGGAGGGAGAGAGTCCGGCTCCCGCAACGAGGGGAGGAGGAAGGAGGGACCGTGTCGGTGGGATGGTCCGGAAATGCTGTGATAAAAAGAGGGGCGCGGGGGAAAAGTAGGGAGAAGCTGTGGACTCATTCCTTCTCCCCGACTCCGCGCTCGCAACTTCCCCGGCAACCTTCGGGCACACGGGCGCCGGCCGGAGCCCGTGGGAGACGAGAGGAGCCGCAGCAGCCGGCACCTGCCGCAGCCACCTGCCCCGGCCCGGCCCGTCTCAGCACAGCGCCTGTCGCCGAGCGAGGTAGCGGCGCCGGGGCGGGAAGGGCAGAGAGGAGAGGAGGGGTGCGGGCACACAGGGACGGGGACAGGTCTTGTCCCTCCAGGTGCTGGCACCGCTGTGACCCGGTGCCCAGGTCGGGCGGGGGGTGGGATGCCGCAGTCGGAGCTGTGCTGCACCGGGGGCGGCCGGTGTCAACCTTGAGCCGTCCCGGCTCACCCTGAGGAGGTGCAGCCCTCGCTGGCATTGCGCTGGGGGCTTTCCGAGGGGTTCCGGTGGGGACTTCCCATCCCGCCACCCGGACTGCATCCGCATCCTGATCGCCCAGCATCCCCCGCTTGTTCTCCCGGGCACTTGCAGAGCGGTTCACCTTCAAATGCCCCCTCGGCGGTCCCGGGCGGACTTGCCACCTCGGAGCAAACCCTCTGAAAACCGAGAGGGCGAGAAGCAGGCGGGGAAACGAGAAAGTTCAAAGGTTTAACTCCTTCCTGCCCGTCTGCAGGAAACAAGCCATGAAAGGGGACCGCATTGCTCCTCCGCACTTGCTCCCGGGCACTTGCCCGGTCTGGGGGAGCCGCCGTGCACCCCTGACTCCCCGCACCCTCTGACCGCTCGCCAACATGCAGCTCTCCTCCTCGGGTACCCTGTCGTGAGAAGCAGGGTCTGAAAGGTGGAGGGCTGGAAACTTGTCTGCACTCAGACAAAGGGAGGAAAGCTGTGGGGAGAGAGCTGAGGAAAATCAGGCATTATTAGCCTTTTCTTCTCCTAGAGACACTATTCCTGTTTTGATTGTGCCTCTTTGCAGGCTGCCTTCCAAGGATTCCCAGTCTCTGTGCATGTGAGGTGTGAAGGTGGGCAGGACCCCAAGCAACAAATCATGGATTTTGTTATGAAACAAGCTCTAGGAGGTAAGTGTGACTGGCAAACAAGGGGCCTTGAATCCCTCCTATCCCTCCTCTTTGCACTCAGAAAGAGAGGGGATGGTCTACTATGGTAGGGTCTGCACCTGGAATAGCTTATTGAGGACTTGGAAGAGTATATATGCCTGTCACTGTTTCATGATCCCGGAGTGGAGTGTTTGGAGAGTCTGAGCAGGAGAGGGCAGCAACAAGCAGAGACCAAAGCCCAATGTCAGAGAAAAGACTTCCCGTACAGGGTGTGCTAGCCCTGGGTCGTGCCTAATTGGCACCCTACCACCTGGATGCATATCCTACTGTGCAGTGTGCCAGTCTTGATTTTCTTCATGCCATGCCACTGAGGCAGGTATTATAAAGGATGAAGACTGATTTAGGCAGAGTAAGCCCAAAGAATGACATTTTTGTCTATGTGTGTAAGCCTGCTTTCATCTTTGCCCCAAAGACTGGCTAAATCCTGAACAAAAATTGCCCAGAGCAGAAGTTTCTGTCTCTGATATTTTGAGAGTTATTTTTAGTGAGAACACTGCCACAATAAGGATGGAAATGATAATAAAGTATTCCTACACACTTTACCTGGATTGAAGGCCAATCTTCTATAGGTTTCTGTATATTAGCTTACGTGTGTGAGGAATTGTTTTAACATAATGGTGTAAAACCAAAAAAGTAGGGACATGTGTAGGAGAAATTGAAAACACTGAACATTTGGGAATGAGGTTCCTTTATTCTGCCACAGTTACTTTCTGGGCTGCTTGACCAGGACATTAGGTCTAAGCAATGGTCTAAGCATCACTGAGGTGATGCTGGATGCTGTTGGGAGCTGAAATATTGGCCTCAGAGGAAGATGATCATTCTCTTTTGTATTCTATCTCATGTGTGCATTTTTCATTATTTTTTCTTTGAAGAAACTGTAGAATCATGGGGCTGTGTAAATGTTTAATGTGTAGTGATATTGATATCATATACAACTTCAACATTTACTGCAGGACTCTATCCCATGGCATGGAAATAATGTTTTCATTTCTGAAAGTGGTGGGTGTTTTTCACCACAGGAATGAAATTTTCATAGTTAAGAACAGAGGAAGCAACCAAAGTTTTAGTTGGGGTTTTTGAATAGGGATATCAAACTAGAGAAGAAAGGGACTGATTTGTTTGCACAAAATAGCAAGGTAAGAAGACATCTACGTGAGAAGGTAGCAGTTTGTGTGGTAGCAGTGCTATGTTTCATTTCACTCTTCAGTGCCTGTTTTGAAGGAGAATTAGTGTTAAGATGTGCAGGCTTTGCACTGTTTGCTGTAGTGCAAAGTTGCTTGCGCAGAATTGAACTAATATACCTGCAAACTGGAGATACAGCCACTACAGCTGGAGATCCATGAATCCAGTAAAGTTAAATAATTGCTTACAGACTGCAGTTAAAGGTGGGGGGAGGAGGGCTGCAGCAAAGCAATAACATCTACGATGGCTGCTTTTTTCTGCACCTTGGTGATTTAACATGAGTTGGAAGCAGTGTCTGCCTGTGCTTAACAGCTTTCACCCTGGGCAGACCTTCATTCTAACAAGATGTTGCATGCCAAGGTCAGGATTTGTATGATGATAGGACTTTCTGGGAAGGTAAATTCAAAAAGCATATTTTTGTGAAGTCTGAGCTCCTGACGTCTGTCAAGATGCTGGCGAGGGCACCAGCTCTTCTGCCAGATGACTTAATGTGTCTGGAACTTACCCACTTACTCAATAAAGGAGAAGTCTCTGCAGAGTGGTAAAATCCAGGAAATGCTAATTCATTAAGCAGAGTCCTATTTTTAAATTACAAATAGTTTCAACAAGATCTCCCAGTGCAAATATAATACAGAAATTCAAGCTGGTTTTGGACACTGGTTTCTCCCTGGAGTTAAAGCCCAATCTGATGCAAATCATCCAAGCTGGCCAGACTGGCACAGCAAACCAAGGACTAAAGGTTATAGTTTGCTTCCCTAGTTTTGGGGCCAGAGCCCTTTCTGTCTGCCAGTTCTGATATCCAAAGGGAGATTTACTTAACAGTTGGACTCAATGATCCTTCTGGGTCCCTTCCAACTCAGAATAATCTGTGAATTGTGTCCACAAGGATGGCCAAACTGAGCAGAGCACCAAACTATCTAGTTGATAGGTTTGCTTTAGGTAGGATATGTGGTCTGATGTGCTAGTGACCATTTTATTATCCTCACTTTCTGGGAGGTCTTTGGGTGGATTTCATGGCTCTTTGATTTTAGTTTAATATGGCTTCTCCCAGAACACCTCTGAATTCAGTCTTCTGTTTGATAGGATTCTTTGAATGGTGCAGAAGTTCTTATACCATTCTCATAATCTCTTAAGGTATTCCTGGAAGAAAGAAAAAATACTGCAATTTTTTCATTACGGTCCCTTCTAATTTACACAGAATCAGACCTGCTATAGATTCTGCTTGCTGAACACTTACAGATAAGGTAGCTTAACCCTTCAGCTATCTCAGATGGTGAAAATTCACAAAGGCTGAGGGCCAGTTGAATGTCCTTGACAGAGCATAATGGGTATGTCATTTTCATAAGTCATTTTTTCTTCCCAGCGTACAGCCCTAAAATGAAACTTAGGCCAGAGCTTATGATAGCTGAGAACCTGGATTTTAAAACTATTTGCAGGTGGTTGCTTTTGACCTTTCCCTACTGTACATGCCTATGCTGGTCTCTGAAGCATTGCAGGAGTTTGGAACCAGGTTTTGTCATAGGGAGTGGTCAAATAAAGTACTGATAGAAAAACATCATTCTCCTGCCTCCTCACTCACCTTACTGAGGAAGACGAGATCTCACTCTCTGCTAATTAGCAGTAGCACTAACCTTAGCAGAATGCTTCTGTGGGAGTTTTGTCATTGCCTTTGAAGCAAACTTTGAAGGTATTAGGCTTGTCTCTAATGGCACAGAATGATTAGATTTGCTTTTCCTTGGAGTTTTGTCCATAGAGGAAGAAGGACACAAGTAGTTTTGAAAGATAGGTGAGCTAAGTTGGCAAGTTAGCAGCCAAGGAAAGGCAGTTATGTGGTGACAAATTGCTTTGTTTGAAAGTTTGATGAGGGTATTTAGGTTTTGTGAAATCCGTTTGATGGCTTATTGAATTGCTGAAGTAGAATGTGTCCTTTCCCTGGCTTGTTGTAAAGAGGGTGTGCAGAAGTCTGCTGTTCCTGTGCAGTGGAAGGTCATCCTCTGCTGTGCCAGCACTGGGATTTTGCTGCTGTGTTGGCAGCAGAGTTTCTGCCTGAAGGTTGACCAGATTGAAATGTGTCTTTTTAAATCCGTGGCCTCTTCATGGCAAAATCCTTGACCCTTTCATTAGTAGTGGGGACTGTGGTCCAGGAAAAAGAGTACAAAATAGTAGGTTATATGGCTGATTTCCTTCCTTCTGTAGCTTTTCTTTTTTTTTTTTTTTTTGTTTTTTTTTTTTTTTTTTTTTTTTTTGTGCTTCTCAGACCTTTCAACACCCTATATGGAAGTCACACTATTTATTGTCTGACAGTGACAGAAGCCATGGAGAAGTAATGATGCTTATTAGCTGTGTGAAACAAGAAGAAAGTAGCAAGAGGTTAAAGGCTTAAAATTGCTGCTTCTTCTCCCACGGAAGTAACAGCAAGGGGATATTTTGTACCTCTGACCCTGTTACATCACAGACATTGACAGAGGTGTGTAGCCAGGGTGATTTGTCGCTTTGCTGTTCCTGCAGCGGTTCTTTAAATGAAGACAACCAGAATTGTTTAATGACTATATTTTACATTAGAAGTGGTCTTTGCCAAGCCAGGTCAGGGCGGGGCTAATGTTATCATAACCAATGTATATGATTTCCCAGGAGAGAGCAGGAACTGAAGGATCCGGAAAGGGTCCTGAAAGAGTTTAGCTGTAATACTTTTCACTGTGCATTGCTTATTTCTTGCTAAGATTGTGTGAAATCAAATTCAGGTGCACGAACACCTGACTCCCATGTTGTACTACACTGTATCACTTCCTCTGTCACAGCTGGCTTGGACAAGTAGGGAAACTGGTTTGAAATAGATGACAATGAACTTCATTAAGACCTTCTGGGTGTTCATTCTGTTACTGGATGATTTGGGGGCCAAGGTCTGGGATATTTTCTTATGAGAAAGAAAAGAGGAAACCTATGGAAAGTGAGGAGAATTTACTGGAATGTTAGATTGTGATGTGTTCAAAGAGAGAGATTTCCTACTGCAGAAAGCAACATTCTGCAGACCAGAATATTGTCATATTGTGTTATACAGAACACAAAGTAGCTCTAAATATGATGCTGCACAGAGCCCTTTTAATGTGCTACTTTTATTGCCACGAACGGGAGAAATGGCAAGAACTGGATGGTAAAAGGTTGGAATGTCTGCCTTAAATACTGAATTCTTTTAATGTCACCTTGTGGATAAATCATGCAAATCCTTTCACATGTAACTGTGCATATGAATAGTACTGCCTAAATTTCTTCTTCATGCTTCCAGCACCCCTTGAATCCATAGTGCAGTGCAACTGCTCTAGGAGAAAGGGTACATCTGTGTTTCTGGATAGGTATTCACTATGATAGATAATGCAGGCATAGTTTAAAAATGCAGGTGTTAGAATGGTAGGTGCGCTGATCTACGGGCAGCAGTTTAGAGTGGGGACTTCTGCTTCACATCTCCTTCTTCTGTCAAGAATCAGTGGACACTTGTTTTGGTTCAGAAGGGTTCTTAAAATACTATAGGCACAAGGCAAATGCAACCAGGTTGCCATCTGTAACATGCCAGCAGGGGGGCACTGCCTACTTCATGTCCCTTACCAGAACTTTTTTTCAGCTGAGTATATCACAAAACACAGTCCAGAGGGAGTCCTCTTGTTCTTGAATACAGATATCCAAGCCCTCATGAAGATAATGGGATTTAAGTCACTGTGTGACTTAAGCTCTGAAAGAGCAGCTCCTGTGCTAAGCTTACATTAGGGAAGATGTGAGAGTGTGTG